ATGGCTGGCACTCCCTGCTGCAACCACTCGCAGCCCACACAGGACTGTCCTGAGCAGGCACAGGCAGCCCCACGTGGGCTGCAAACAGCTGCTGCAGCATGGGGCGCCAGCCATGGGGTAGGGGAGGGGTCACTTTTCCCCCCCACACAGCCCCAGCTCCAGGCTCACCCATTGGGGCTGTACCATGGCAGCAGCAGCTACAGCCCACCCCAGGCAGTGTTTGCAACCACCGCCTCTAGGCTGCCCAGCACACAAGCTCCAGGAAGACAGCAGCAAACACTGTCCGGCGCAGCAAGCCGGGGGGCTGCAGCCACTGGCACCATGGTACAGCACCGACAGGTGAGCCCAGAGCTGGCACGGGGCCGGGTTACAAGCTGGTGCCAAGTGCAGGAAAAGCAGCCCCTCGCCTGCCCCGTGGCTGGCGCCCCATGCAGCTCACAGCCTACATGAGCCTGCCTGTGCCTGGTCAAGACAGCCCTGCACTGGCTGTGAGCAGTTGCAACAGAGAGCATCAGCCATGGGGCAGGGGATAGGCCACTTTTCCCCCCCCCATGCTCAGCACCAGCTTGTTCCCTGCCAGCAAGCAGGGGATTGGGGCTGCATGCTGCCCCCTGCTGGTACCACAGAGCTGGGGGGCACTGGGAGTGAGTGGGTGCACAGGGTCCCAGCCAGCTCCTCCCTTTCCCTGCTGATGCAGCCCAACCCAGCTCCACAGACCCCTGACAGCTTGCACCCCACTCCGGCCCCACTGGTGCTGGGCCCTGAGACATCAGGACACTGGTCCCAAGATGGTGACTGGGGGTGAGGCTACCCACGCAGCCCTTGACAGCTTGCTAAAACTGGGTAAGCGGCCGTCTGTCCAAAATGACGGTCTGCCCCTGAACTATATTATGGCACCAGGGAATATTGGAAGTACTGGGAATATTTTAATTAAGGTTATCAAACAACAAGCATATACTTTTTATTGAAAACAATGAATGGAGTGAGGCTTCCTGACCAGCAAGTTAAATCATGTTTAAGTCAAGTTGATTTAAATCATATCCACCCTGAAGAACATTCAGAAACAAATCCTTTCCCATTTGAAAGCCAAAAGGGAGACAGGAGATTTCCTCTTAGAGGAGGAAGTGAAATTGAAGTACAGGATATTCAAGTTTTAAACAATATTTTAAAATATGCCATTACTTCCTTGAAGTTGGCCAGTTTACCTGGTTTCACTGGGGATGCCATGGAATATACCATTTTAAGGCATTAATATAAAAAATTAAAAACAAAACAAGAAAAAGCCACACAAAAAACCCAGAGGAAGATGGAAATTGTTCTCATGGGTCTAGAAATATTATGCCCATCACCCTAATCCCATAACATAGCTGGAGACTCCTGCTTCCATACTGCCTCTTTCCCAAATATTTAAAGTAGTGGGAACATTCCCAGTGCTTAGCTCAAGTCGTTTTCTGGTTCTATAGCTCATCTGCAACTTTACACCTGGGTACATGCACACAAGCAGAGGTCAATGTTACTAAAGATCAGTTGCTGTTATTACAGTGTATATGGTAAAGTGTTCTCGACTATCTATCTAATAAACCATAAGTCTAATATGCAGCATTATGTAATAAAAAACCAATGTGGATTAAGAGTTTATAAAGGAATAAACTTTTACAGAGCTTAAGATCCAAGACAAAACCATACAATCAGGATTTCAAGTCAATACGTGCACATGGATTTTTGAATAATAAGCAAAGAACCTAAGACTTTACAATATGTAATACTTTGGTTAATCTTTAGTTTTGGCAAGTTTATCCTACTTTTTTTTTTAAAATACTAAATTTCATTTGGTGCCGAGATACTGCAGCAAGGATGCCAGCTAAGTAGCTGAGATATTATGAATTTCAAATTCATACAGTTCATAAAGGAATTATTTGAACCAAAGAAATTTGTCTAAGATTAAGCTCGAAACAAGAATTATTTTAGAAATCTGATCCTTCGCAATAAAATTCCATTTTAGAAGAGTTTATGAGATGGTTTGGATGACAGCTGAAGTATGAGTAACTAGAGACTTTCAACCCACATAATTATTGCCCAAAGAATTCGCATGTCAGGAATACAAGGAATCTTCATGAACAAGATCACTATCAGAAGCAGGCATTTTAAAAAGATACATGACATTTTCAGATGAAAACTTAAGATATAATAAGCTATTCCTTAACTTTAAATTTAATTAATCTACAAGTAACTGAATTCATTTAAAAAGGTATATCAACAAAGTGATGGAAAACAAGACAGCTTTAAAATTCAAAGAGCCAAACTATTTCTTCTACTTAATAGCTGAAAGTTGATACATTTTCCACTGACTACTACTTCTCTTGATTCAACTAGGCACAACAGTAACCCAAACAGTTCGAGACAGCTCAAACCTCAGTTTCCATCCCAGATCTACTGTTTGGCAAGACCAAGGCTTGGAGGAGCAAAGCAGAGCTAAGAAGGGGGAAAAAAGCTCAAGAGATTTCTCATTAGGCACACAGCCAAAGAAAAAATGGTAGGGAAACCGATTTAAAACAGGAAAATAAAACACACCCTCAGACAGTTGAGTCATTTTGGATCATGAGATTATTAATTACACTTAAATGCCCAATTGATTTTTTCCTCTGCAATTTATAATATATCTTATACTCTCCCAAACTACAGATTAGTCAGCCAATTTAAATGCACCTTGGGTGTGTCTGAGGGAGCCTGCTGTGCTTTGGCACACAAGAAATAAACATATATTGGCCAATGCACACTTTACACTGTTGCTTGAAGTGTTGCTACTAAACTAAACCTTAAAATTACTTAAATTTGCATGCATTATTACTTGATAGGGCCTACTGCAAAACAGAGCCAGGATGTCTGAACATCCCGCTACCAACAATAGATGTGGTGGCACACCCACTCTAGGACAGCTAGACATTTCACTATTCCCAGCAGCATTACTAATTTACCAGGAAAAAAAACAGTAGGTTTAAACAACGGGAAACTGAACATAGAAACATTTCACCTTGCAGCTTTTATAACTGTTCAGCTTCTGAAAGACTAGATTTCAAATACCCCAAAGTGTTATAACAATGGTTTCAGAAGCTGTTTTACAGTCATTGGCCTATGAATCTGGGCAATAGTCCTGTTGTTTGCTGTGACTTTCCTTTTTTTTTTTTTAAATCCTGCAGCTGCATGAAAGACCCATGCAAGGGGCGCTGACCATATGTAAAATACAAACAAAAGAGTAGCCAACCTAGGAAGTTAGAAACAGTTCTCCGCTCCCTCTCTAAACCCCATTCACTGCAATCATAGCATTATCTGCAAAACAGCAGACAAGACTCAGTTTTCCATCTGAGAAATGAACACCCTCTTGGAAAGTATGCAAGGCATCAAGTACATTTTGTTCAATTCCAAACAGTTATATAGAAACTCGAAGGGAAATAACTGAAACAAAGTGAAGCTAATCATGATCACAAGTCCCTTTCCAAACTCACTCAGATTGTTTTCAAAAGTAGAACTTAATCTGTTAGAAACATTAAGTTATTTCTACTTTTATAAGGCATCTAACAGTTAAGCAAGCACTTCTGAATACCAAAATTTTAGGGTGGGATTTGAAGTTTTTTCCAAAAATTAGTAGGGGAACACTCCCCCCCCC